TACTGTTTTGGGTAATATTATTGTATATAGGATGTGTTGTTAGGATATTTACTGTCACCATGTGCGTTAGTTTGATGATGTTCCCGGAGTGAGTTCATGAAGGATGTTTATGATAAACACTGCAGATGGATTAAATTCCGGCATAATAAGAACGTGATGAATGAGCACTAGCTTCGGTGAAATAATAATAAATTAATTAATTCTTGATTGTCAGTAATCGAATTAATTAATGGATATTATATCTTAAACGTGGGGAGATAAATCGAGTAATCATTATTGGAGTCTCAAATGTAATTTGGGCTAGAAAAAGGGAGTACAATAATATAATGTTGGTGGCCCATTAATATTATTTAATTAATTAGAGGAGTGGACTTGGCCCACAGTTATTTTAATTAATTAAGGTGCCCTATTCCTAATTTCCTAAGGGTCCCTACTGTAGCTCTATATATACATCTTTAAGCTCATGAGAAGAGAAGACATCTGTCATAATTAAAACACACGCCCCACGCCTCTCTCTCTCTCTAGATCTCATTCGAGCTTTATCTTCTTCTTGTTGCTCCATTGATACAAGTTGAAGAAGGGTATATTGAGTAATACAGTAGAAGATCTGTAGGTAAATCGGGGCGAAATATATTTTATCCTACAGAACTAACCGGAGGTCCGATTGAGGAACGGAGCATACCCAGATGACCGTCTCGACGCCAGCTTTCAGCCGCTGCCCAGATCGCCGTTGGGAGCTCATTGACTGCAAAGTTCGTCTTCATCTGTTTGCACCCATTTTATCCGATCTTGTTCGTGTGACCCAAGACGTGATTTGCGGTCATCCATTCATGGTCAACCAGATCTACATAAATTTTAAGCCGTAAGTCCTCTACGTCAAACCTTTAGATCCGGTACGCATAGGTTTACTTTTGCTATTGAATTCGTGACTTGTACATAATGAGATACTCACAGATCCCAACACCAGTGTTCCTGACTTGTTGCACTTGTGGCATCTTCCTTTCGGTTTTTTTTGCCACACCTGAGGGACCGGTCGTGGGGCAACTGGAGCATCATGTGCCTTCGCCTTTCCTGCAGACTTCTTTCTCTTCTTGCCCTTATAAGCCTGGAAGATCCAGCCTGCTCGGCGACTAGCACCTGAGGTACCTGGGTGAATAAGGCTTCCGCCGACTGAAGCTCTGCAAGCAGTTCTTGAAGAGCCATATGCATCTTGTGCATGTTGTAGTTCAACCGGAACTGATCAAAGCACTTCGGCAAAGACTATAGCATAATATCAACCTGGGTTTCCCCGTCAATAAAATCTCCCATGACCTCAAGCTCATTGAGTTGCGCCATAAACCTGAGGGCGTGCTCCCTTATGGGTGTGCCCTCGGCCATGCGCGTACTCATCAGAGCACTCAAAGCCTCTTGCCTAGCAGCCCTAGACTGATGTCCGAACAGATTTCTGATATTGAGCAGTATATCTGCTGCAGTGTCCATAGACTGATGCTTATGTTGAAGAACATTCGACATAGAAGCCAGAATGTAACACTTTGCCATTTCATCAGCCTTCTTCCACCAAGCATACTCCTTTTTCTCCTGCTCAGGAGAATCAACCGTCGGCACTGTCAGTGGCACTGCCGGACTAGCCTCATTGGTTGCAAACTTATAACCCTCAGCAGTCAACACTATGTCTAAGTTCCTCTTCCAATCAATGTAATTAGGACCAGTAAGTTGATTTTCTTTTAGAATGACAGACAACGGATTAAACAACATTATGAATATCCTGAGAATCATGCAAATGAATTTTGCAGATTAAACACTTTTGAATTTAACTGTTAATATTGATATCCTCTAAACAATTTTAACTAAATTCACCGAAATTTATTACACCTCATGAGAATGCATGCTACGTGGGTCGCCCTACATGCTCATATTTTGTAAGAGAAGGGTTTTTCAAGAACCCATTAATTTCCATAAGTCAAAACAAAATTCATGACGAATGAAATTAATAGTCGGTCTCCATTTGGCCATGCAATAAATCCAGGGACCCCTTGGGGAGTTTATAAATAAATCGCATTCTAAGTGAATCCCATTACTCGATTTCGAGGTCGTCAAAATTGATTACACGTCCCCCGTGGGGAGGCCCGTGCGCTCTCTTTAGATTCCCTCCAACCGTCTAATTTTAGAAATTCGTCCTGGTAATTTCCTACAATTAGTTTTAGTGATGTCATCTATGGGAAAGCCCATACTTCAATTAATTGATTTACCGACAAATTAGAAATGGAGGCCTTAGGAATTTTACGATTAGCTTTAATTTAAAATCCCTTCTCAAACTTAGTATTATTTAATGAGGATTTATAAATACTTATGCAATTCTAAATTAATATATGTTAATGCAACAATTAATTAACATGCATAATAATTCAAGCAATTCTAAATTAAATTATGTCTATGCAATAGTTAATTATCATGTACAACAATTCATGCAATTCTAAATTAATCTATGTCAGTGCACTAATTAATTATCATACATAATTTATTAATACAATTCTAATTTAATCCTATGCATAACATAATTAATTAACATGCATAATTATTCATGCAATATTAAATCAATCCCATGCAAGAACATAATTAATTAACATGCATAAATAATAATTAATGGCATAATGAATTTTAATAAATAAATAAATCCATTATTATGGCCACTAAATATTGAGTCTCCTTAAACAAGAAAACTGTGACAGTCATTTCCCTGTTCAACTGGAACTCCTTTAGCAGTAGAATCCTGGTAGATATTGTATTGTTTGGACATCAAGTAAAACCACTCCACCTTCAGCCTTGTCGTCGACCGCCGACCGCCGCCGCCGCTGGTGGTCGGAAAATCGCCGATTTTTTTTTATTCTTCGAGGCTAGTTGATCTCTTGTGATCTCCCAGCCATCAACACACAATCACAACACGACAAATATAATTTACAAAATTACATAATTCGATCCTAGATCCAACGAATGGATGTACATGTTTTCTAAACAAATAATTAAATATATCCCATCAACCCCCGGGCGAATAATTATTACAAACATTCATCCATCAATTCCTCGACATGTCCGAGGCTTTAAAAACGAATTTAAATCCATACATCACATAAAACAACATTCATCAATCACATAGTCGGCCATAATAGGGGATTAACTATTTTCCTGCAAACCGAGTTATGTAAATATAATCCAATATATGGTCGCGTTTGAACACATCTTGTCAAATAAAGCCATAAAAATTCAAACTTTGTACGAAACGAATTAACCAAGTGCTCTGATACCACTTGTTGGGATCTGTGAGGATCTTGTTATGTACAAGTGAAGGATTTAATAGTAAAAAACTATGCGCAACAGCTCTAAAGATTTGACCTAAAGAACTTACGACTTAAAATTTTTGGCGATCTGGCTGATCTTCTGGATGGCCGTACACAGTACACGAACAAGACAAACCGGGTCGGATCGCGTGATCGGGTCGCGTGCGTCGGACTAGCCGAGCTGGCGCGTCGCGGGGCTCCGAGAGTCGTGTCGCTGGTCGCGGGTGGCGCGTCGTCTCACTGACTGGATTGCGTTACTTCACGGCTGGACACGGCGGCTTCACGACGGGTCTGGCTCGTCGGGTCGGGGGTCCGGCAGGTCGGGCTCGTCGTTTTCTGTCTGCTGTAGATGATAATCGGGTCTCGATTACTTATAGATCTTCTACTGTATTACTCAAACACCTCTTCAACTTGTACCAGTGGAGCAACAAGAAGAAGTTAAAGCTCGAATGAGAACTGAGAGAGAGAGTATGTTGGGCGCCGTCTCACGTTAATTATGTGGGACTGACTCTCTTCTCATGAGCTTAATGATGTATATATAGAGCTACAGTAAGGACCCTTAGGAGATTAGGAATAGGACTCCTTAATTTAATTAGACTATCTATGGGCCAAGCCCAGTCCTCTAATTAATTAAATAATATTAATGGGCCACCAATATTATATTATTGCACTCTCTTTTCCTAGCCTAAATTACATTTGAGACTTCAATAATAATTACTCGATTTACCTACCCACGTTTAAAATATAATGTCTATTAATTAATTCGACTACTGACAATCAAGAATTAATTAATTTGTTATTATTTCACCGAAACTAGCGCTCGTTCATCACATTCTTATTATGTTGGAACTTAATCCACCAGCAGGGTTTAGCATAACAATCCTTCATGAACTCACTCCGGGGACATCATCAAACTAACGCACATGGTGACCGTAAATATCCTAACAGCACATTCTATATATAGCAACATTACCTAAAACAGTAGCAATATTAATCCAACAAACTGAACCTCACCCAAGTGAATCAAAGTAATATATACTACATATGTCTGCCTGTTTAATATCTTACGATTTATGAGAATGCAGTAATTAACCGAGGCCTAGTTCATTTACAACGATAAGTATAAAATGAACTTCTCCTCTTTGAGATCCTGTTCAATACATAAATGTACTAGTGCAACTAATCAGTCAAGACAAACTGTACAGTTGACACTACAACCATTCGGATGGGCTGTTCATGTCCATCTAGGTTGTGAACAACTATTCTTGTTCGCAAGTAACTGATAGAATGATCTTCAGTTCACCCAATGATGACCCACTCTATCTATGTGTAGAACAACAGAACGTAGAACTTGTTTAATCTAACATGATTCTCATTCATAAAGGGTAAATGTGTAATAACATGCAAAGCCAAGCTTTTAGTATATAACACTAACAACACACACACACACACACACACTTTATACACACACAACACACACGCACACACACAGTACACACACGATTCTCACACACACACACACATGCACCGTACATGCACGCAAACACACACACACACACAAACTGATACACGCATACAAAAATACGACACACACACATACACACACACACACACAGAAACTGCCCCCTCATCAGCACCACCGGTCGATCGCTGCCGCTAGCTGACCTCGCTGCCGCTTGCAGTCGCCGTATCTAGCCACTGTATCATTTGAACGGGCATGGCTTCACTAAATTGGAACAGATCGGTCGCTTCCTCAGTGCCATCCACCAGCGTCGCCCACAACTGCTGCCTATCGCGCCGGTTGCTGCTGCCTCGTCATGCCATTGGGCAAGATGGTTGCTGCCCGATTTCAAGCGACAGAAATGGACAATTAATTTAGAATTGTGGGGATTTTTTGTTTCAGAATTTGATAATTTCAAAGGATCCCATTACAATTTCAAGATTTTTATTATATTTTCAATCTAGTCTCTGGGTCTAATATGAAATTTATGTAAAAATATATAAAAAAATATAATTTTTTGAATACTTTTTATACGCACATACACACACACACACACACACAGATATATATATATATATATATATATATTATTCATTTTCAAAAAAAATATTAAATAAAATATTAAAATAATGGATATATTTTTAAATATAAATAATACGCTAATTAAATTATTTAGGTTAGTTACATTTATCCAAATATCCCAATTATCGATTCTTTTTCTAGTTTGGATTTGTACATTAAAAAAAATCATAGTAATGTGCAATGGTATTAAACAAAATGCACATTAGCGAATGTCATACTGCACGATAGTGTTAAACTATATGCTTGTTAATACGTTCGAGCATGCATGTTAGCATTACAGTGAATCTTGCATGATGACACACGTGACATAAAATGAAACAACATTGTTATGCTAGTGTCTATTTTCACAAATATTATAATTTTAATTACTAAAAACAAAATTAACAAAACCAACCAAATCATATAAAAAAGATTATTTTTAAAATTTTTATCTATGCATATATATTATTTATTTCAACAAACAAAAATATGAAAAATTAAATAAATATCAGTTATAAATACTAAATATATATTTTCTTATATAAATAATTTGACAAATGCCAAATGATGTTGACTGAAATATACATTATTAAGGTTTCTTAAAATTGAAATACACATAAAAATACCCTTTCAATAGACTGCACAGTAATGTCAGACGAGATGAACATCATTGATTGAGGAGATGCACAGTAACAATTTATGTATTTTATTACATTATGTATTATCAACCACAAATAATCTAAACTATTAAATATAGAGGTAAAAAATACTAAATATTTTTTTTCATATATAATGTGAATAAAAAAATATTTTATTTATTTAGAATAAATGTGTTAACTGATTGAATTAAAATGACTATTTTGGTTCGATTTTAGTTTTTATTTGGGACAACACATTAAATATGTTTGTACTATGAGTGCATAATAGTGTTAGACGAATTACATGTTAATGATAAGCAGATTGCACAATATGCACCGAAACCAATCGAGCTGAAAAATTTCAGTTCGGAACTTTATGAACACTAAGAGGCGCAGTGACATCTTGGTAAATTTGGATAAAATTATGAACAAATTGAAATGACCAACGAACAGCTCTATGTAATTTCATAAATTATAACGGAGGTTTTTAATGTGCATGATCACATGTGCATTTTATATATTGTGCATGCATTTAAAATTAATGTGCATGCATTTAACATTAATATACCTACATAGTTGTCTCACTTATTAAATTAAAAAATATTGAACTTTATATAATTGCAATCATATCCTTGTGGATTTATCTAATTTTAAAAACAAATAAAAGCATCCCAATCTCAAAATTTGGACTCTATTCGTCCATGTCCACGGCTGCCTTCGCCTGTCCGTTTCCCGACCGTCATTCCCCGCTGCCGACCACATCCGGCCCGATCGTCGTGCACGTTGACTCCTTCGTCGTCCTCACTACTCGTTCCATTGGCCGACACGATTTGGCATATGCTCTGACCACCTTCTTTCTTTCTTGGAACCCAACGTCGCCAAGCTCAGCGGCGTCATTTCACTGTACGTCGCCTCCTCTTCTAGCCGTGGGGTGGTGTGGCCAGTGAAGGAAATGTCAATGGCTAAGACATCTACCGGAGTTGAGTGTGTGTTTGTTTGGGTGTGTGCGGGACCGAAGAAGGGCTGCCGCTGAGGAAGGCCAGGATCTGGCGGTGGTTTTCCAGGTAAGTCCTCGGTCGATGAGATGGAGTGGATGTTGTCGTCATTGAGTCGATTTCATCTCGCCGAAGTCCCAACGGCTGATGACGGAGCTGCAATGAAAGGGATGCACCGGTGGATGGCAGTCGTCTCATGTCCGATCGGCTAAGGTGCGACGGAAGGCGGCGAGCTGTGGCCGTTCGGCGGCGTCCGACTTTGACATATTGTGTGTGTGTGTGTGTGGACTGTGTGTGTTCCATTTAAGTGTGTGTTGTATGTAGCGCCCCATTCATTTTAGATGAGTTAGCGTATTTTTATATTATTTATTTATTCACCTCGCCTTTATTTTAGTTGTATTGCTCGGCAAGTCCTCGTTTAAGCTTCTGATGATTAATTAGATGTCCTTGTCTAGTTAATCTTTGAAGTCAAATAATTTTTGTAGACGTGATCGTCTACTTAAATCATTTCTAATTTTATTTTTATGCATTCGTTATTCAAAAATCGTTCGTCCGGCGTTGTTCGATTTATATTCGCTCGTCGAATCATTCAAAAATTCGTCGTTCACTCGTGTAGAATTATTTTCGAGCCGTTTTTGATCTCTTCTCAAATCTTGGTCTCGACCGTTCTTAAGCTTTTTTTTTTTTTTCAGACCATTGGAATCATCATTTTCGGCCTTGAGTTTATAAGAAAAAAACCTACCCAATGCTAGTCCATTTCGGCCCAACATTATTCCAAAAACTGATCCCCTTGTGAGCATTTTGGCTCCAAGTTACTTTTCAAATTTTCAAAGTTTTGGGGTGTTATTTTTGGAGAATTATTTTCCAGCTCTAAATCTCGTTTGACCAACCCCAAGTGCCTTGTATGGCACCCTTTATGTCCTTATTTATGGTATGATTTTATACCATTTGATATTGCCTTGATTACCTTGGTTTTAATTTGAGGAATTTTCCCATTTTCTCTCATTACTTCACACGTTTTTCCTCCCTTGGATTCAGACCAAATCAGCTCTCCCTTTTACATAATTCTTCCCCAAAACCTCATCTCGATTCCTTCCTTCACGGTGCCCAACTCCTGGCATTCAGCAGCCCCTCGAGCCTCCGTCGCTAGCAGCCGTGACCGGCATCCCAACAGTCGTCTGTTAACACGCCAAGCCTTGACTCTACCACCATCAGCCCACGCGACCAGCCCCTGGCCGAAGTACCTCAATCACCGGAAGGCCACGCCCGCGACGCCGCTCGAAGCCGATGCCGCGCAACGCCGTCTGATGCCATTGATCTGCTCGATCCGGTTTTCCTTATTTTGTAGATTCCCCTGAGCTGGGTAATTGATTCGATCCCCTTGTAAATTATTCATTTTTGGTGGATTATTATAGATCCATATGGTTTGAGTTGGATCTATTTCACAAAAATTTAGATCTAAGGACATTTTTGAAGAAAATGTGTACATCATGAGGTTTTGAAATTGCTTGTGTTTATTGTGGAGTTGGAACTCTCTAAGTACCTTTATCGTTGTGAAAAAAATCGAGCCTCGTTGTTTTGAAAACAAGCCTTGGTTTTATCTCCGAACCATCGTCGTGTTGTCGTTCAATCTTGTGTTGTTTGAGCCTTGAAAACCCTATATGATACCCTTGTAATGCTTCCTGTTTTCACCCTCTAAAACGCAGTCGAATGGTTTCGAACTCTTCATGTGATTTGAAGTTCGATCTCTTTGTTTCCTCTGGAATAAAAATCAGGTGTTTATCATTTATATATGGAGAGTTATTGCCAAAGTTCGATTATTGCATGTTCAGTTTTTCTGATCTTTCGGTGTTACTTGTTGTCTGTATTACTTGGTTGTTTTAAACCTCTTCTTGTGACCGGATACTTTTGTTGTCTTCTAATGGTTTGTAATTTTGCCTCTTATATTTCTAAGGGCACAAAAATATTTCAATTATTAGTTTTGTATAAAAAGTTACGTTCGAAATATGATCACAGCGCGAGAAGTTTTTCTGTAGAGTCAGTTGCAGCTTGTGGCTTAAGTTAGACAAGTTTTCATCCCTTTAACTTGTTCGTTTTATTCGAGATCTTCACGAGAAATGTACTTGTCTCTTGACTTTCCATATTTTCAAAAATCAGTCCAAAATATTTTCTACATCAAAAGTTATTTTTAAAATAAATTGACTGCGCATAGAAGATTTATCCAATTTCCAACAACTTGGTTTTTATGTTTTTACTCATCCGTTTTCGAGCTGTTCGACCCGTTTTTGAGCCGAACCTTATAGTTTAGCCTCGTGACCATTTTTTCAAGTCTTGTTCCATTAAATTGAGAGTTCCAAGTTCCACTAAAATTTCATAAGCTCCTTAATCAATAATTTTGATTAAATGAGAACCTTCGATGAACTTTCGAGTTACCAAGATAATTTATTTATGAAAATTGTCTTGATTAATTGTAGGCTCTTGAGTTGTCGAACCCTCAACCTACCGAGCCGTTGTAGCATCTTTTTTGTCTTATCCGAACAGGTGGGTGTCGATAAACTTTACTGTGCAATTATTCTTTATAATCGCATGTTTTTATAATCAATATATGCATGTGAAACGCTGGTCTATGATAGGGTCTTTCGTTGTCGAGAATTCTGACGGTTGGCCTATTTTTGCCTAATTAGAGTATATTCCCGCCGATGGTAATGCCGGTGGGTTAGCTGTAATGCCCCGTTTTATTTTAATGAATTTGCCGAATTTATTTAATAAAAATCAGAGTATTTTTTTAAAAAAAATCTAAGTTAAAACCTTTATCGAGAAACGGGCGCTACTTACTAACCACAACAAACAAATAAAAACACCAAATCAATCAATCGATAGAACCTACACATGCTCGAGCTATCAAAATAACAATTTTAATAATCATAAATTTCAAAACCATTCCCAAACGACTAGCATGAAAGGAAGGTTCAAACGGAATTCAACATAGTTCGCAAATGACGAAACAAATAATCCAAAGTACGATAGCAAATAAATAAATATCAAGTTTATACGGAAGCATAGGTTTTCAACACATAATGACCACCATCTCGCTCGTCCTACGCCACCGCCTCCAGCTCGTCTCAACCTAGAACAATGGAAGAGAGAAGACAACAAGAAAATAATGGGGGTGAGCAACCAACTAGCTCACCATTATCGCGCAGTTATCTCGTATAATTATTTTAAAAAGCAGTATCACGGTAAAACAGTTTCAGTATCGGTATGCAAAGAATTCATAGCCTAAACCCCCTACCCAGCCCTATCGCAAACCTCCTATGTACATACAACAAGCTACCGGATACAACGGCATGGCTGTAACTGGAAACCTTCCCACCCCCGGGTACAACGGTTCGTAGGATCCTTTCCAAGAGACAGCAGAGATGTTTTTCCCCTTCCGGATACGACGGCATGGGGCGTCCGTCCCGGATACAACGGGCAGGAGACCTCCTACTGCTTTCGCATTCATCAAGGCACTAGCATTTGGGACACTTAGACTAGAGTTCTCATGCATACAAAAATTTTCAAAAGAAACATTACACGAAATAATAAGTGCGATAATTATGGATACAACACAAATGTATCCCCCTGATAGCAGCAACAGTTCATAAAATCATAAATCCCGAAATGAGGTGAGGTCAACACCTCTAGACACCTACATTATGACAAGATCCTACAATCAATATCTATCTTGACTTAAATCGGAAATCACAAGACAGACCTAGTCGAACTTGTTTCGACTAAGTAGTTCCTGAAGTCCTGTGGATGTTGGAACACTAAGACTCTGCACTAAACTCGACCAAACCACATAAGGGAGTTCACATAAATCCATCCGAGGATTGACCAAGTCAAACTCACATCAAAACGAAAAGCAAGTCGATTCCCAATTTTCATATAAAAATCATGTATCCAAAATAGCAATCATTAATCGCATGAAAAATAGATGGTCAAGCTACCCTACTACTTAGGCTCTGAAAATATACACAAAATTACATCTCCCAGAAACATGTAAAACCACAAATTTTCAACTTCAAACTCGAAATACACTATTTTATAAAATTCGAACAAGACATCAACAAAAAGAGAACATCAATTCATACTTGAACTTAATGAACGAATCAGAACTTGAAAATTTTACACAACAATATATATCATGCTAAAATCCATGTATAAAAATCTCAGCTCTGAAGGTCAACTGCTACTATTTTTTAAAAATTCATACGAGCATCACCAGTTTATGGAATTTAAATCAAAACCCAATCAATATGGACTCCACAAATTCCCATCTTTTAAAAACATGATTCAACACATAAAATAGGCATCTCAGTAAAATTTCAGAATTTTTCACGAAATAATCAATTTATAAAAATTCAAACAACGCTTCAGCAGATTCGATAAATAAATTATTAACGACATCAAATCAAGTTCGAAAATTCTAAACATTTAACACAACATATAAAAGTCACAGAGGAATGACATATTCGAATTTCAGCTCATTTGATTCAATAATGAATTTTTTATGCATTTAACACTATTCTGATCAGATTACATTATAATTATTAAAAATAGCAACAGGCTTCTAAAAATCACGAAATTTTTACATGAGGCTGGCAATGAACATACAACATCACCCTCAAATTTTCAAATCGTTTTGAGCAGCGAGCTATTTTTAAAAATTCAAACACCAAAACAGCGATATAAATGCTCGACAACTTGTCAATTAATTCATAACAGGAAATTTCTCGTCCGAGGCCTTTTCAAAGACCAAGTGCTTGACATTGTTCCAATATCCACCGACTTACACGACTTTCGAGGTCTCGTTCGATTCTTTTGAAAATCGAAGAGGCCCCGAACATACGATAACCCATAAAATCATAATAACACATAATCGCACATATTCACATCAAGCAATTCACACATATATTACATTGTTCAACGAGCACTTCACGACAATAAACACATAACGAAATAAATCATACACGAGTTAAACGAGTCGAAAAAACGACGAGGTACTGTTCTCGGGAAAAACGCGGAAAACGAAACGAACACGAACGGGGCTCGACGGATTCTCGCGTCTCGCCGGAAGGGAAAGATGCTGCAGCGGCTTCGAGAGGGGATGGGTCGCTGCTAGATCGCCGGACGTCGCTGCAAGGTCGCCAGAG